ATTCGCGATAGTTCGCGTCAGTGCAGAAGCACCGCAAGAGCTCGCGATGTGCTGGCGCTGGGACCGCGTCAGTAAAACGCATGGTTCCGTGATAGTGATTGATACGAGAACAGAAGGTTCAAAGGGTTTAGGCCACAGCTCAAATGTTCTTGCGCCCGAACACGTTGGGCTGGTAGCAGTGTCTCAGGGCAACAAAACCTTGTGACAGAGCCGCCTTGTCTTCATGAAAACCCTTCGAGACAGCCCCTTGTCTGACAGAATTGGGCAGGCATTGAGTCCTAACCATGCTTGGCGGATCTTGGCGGCTATTTGTCGATAGATTGGATAATGGTAGTAGTACATGGCAGAATTGCCCGGATTGCGACAGAGCTTGAATGTTTACGAGGCGCAGGCACATGAATCATTCACAGTGGAAAAGCCAGCAGTGACCGTGGGGAATGTGAGGGCTGGGGGGCTTACGACACATCGGGCTTCTGGTCCACAGCCAGCTGTTCCAGCGGTAGTGGCGACGGCAGTCGTGGGGCTACAATAGGGATGGCAGAGCTACGAGATGTTCAGTCTTGTACGCAATGACAGGTGATGCTTTCGGGCGACTTGCCATATGGATCGGACGAATACAGGATAGCAAGCGGCCTGGGGCCCACATGAAGTGCAAAGCGGATCTTGTGGATCCAACCGCAAGAGGCACTTGGTCTGGACTGAGGAGAACCGCCAGACTTCTCAAAGGAGGCGTGAAGCTGCCATGGTCTCTTACCGACATCCCTTCGCCTGCAGTTGACTGCTCTCTGAAGCTTGGCTGTCTTCATATCACCCCAGAGCCAACAGGTGTGGCAGACGGTTTCTCCGGAAGCCATCAGCTTGATCAGAAAGCTTCTGCAGCCCGATGTGGAGGTCGGGTCAGGAAAAAGAAGTAGCTTTCGCTTAGACACGTGTTTCAAAGTATGCATGTGATGTGTCAGGAAAGGTGGACTGCACAGCAAGCCCTGCGTCACGAGGCCCGGGCAGGCGGCATGGAAGTTTGAGCAAAGACCAATGCCGGCCCCTTGCCAGTGGTTCACCGCCATGAAGACGACCCGCGCGTCTCCAGAGTCAGTCGGCAACAGGCAGTTCCTGCGGGAAAACCTTTCCAGACACTGTTGGGTCAATCCACGCTAACACAAAAAGATGCTTTTCCGAAACGCCGAAACGCCCTGGGTCTATTCACGCAGGTCAATTTTCACAGATCGCTCCGAAGGCAACAGCGATTCAGAGTGACCGTATGCTGATGTGCTTCATGTTGGTATGAGTGTCAGGACAAGTGCAGTGTGTGCTTGTATTGTCCGTGATAAGCTTGAGAGCACTTGGGTGGCCAGGTCTGTTCACTCAGCACTCTGTTGAGTTTGCCCGAGCTGTGCTACGGAGTCTGCGACGTTGGCGGCAGCATCCCTTTCTCAGGCAAGACGATTTCCCATTTCGAATGGTAACACACTGGTGTGTTGCCACACCATGCGAGAACGCAGCTCTCCCCGATCTGCTGAAGTCATACTGTCTTCCGATTGCTGATGGCCAAAAAATGTGGCAACATCTCAAGCGTGCATTCATGCGTGCAGGCGAATGGTCATTGCAGGCATCGCCAAGCGAATGGAGGCCTGACGCTTAAAAGTGTCTGAGAAGGTGCATCAAGAACTGTTTTGGTCAGGCTGACAATCCCTCGAGGAGATTCGCCGAAACGGCGTACCAAGCTTTCAAAGGATCGCAAGACAAGCTCCGAAACGATCAGCTTGTTCAGGTGTTTTGCCAAGAAGGTTCTCCACCAAACGCGAAAAGCTTTGGTGCAGCCCACGCAGATCCAGCTCAGGTGCTGAACAGTGCATTCTGTGGGAGCAGTCCTCCTCCAGATGCATCATGCTCCTCCCAGACAACTGCCAGCAATGAGTCCTTCCTGCAGGAGCGTTGAGAAGGGGTTGTGTTGGCGTGTTGGCTTCTGTACGCGCTGTGATTTCTTCTGCCTTGAGGCTGGCGAAAGCGTGCGCACCACGCGTAGCAACAGCTCTTCTGGCTCTGCCTTCTCTCCCAGTGACCCTCCTCAAAGACCGTGTCACGTTCACGTGCGTGACTCCTCACAGACGTGGAGACTGTTCTTCGGGCAATGAGGCGGACGGAGTGTGACAGGCCTCTACGTGCGCTGGCATCTCAGCCCTTGGCTAGAGGATGAGCAGGATACAGCCTGTAGGCAGGCATCATGGAGTTCACACGTTCAGGGCCAGTACCCGCATTGGGCGTTGCTGAGACTGCTCGTTTGTTTTGCAGAGCCGTTTGTCCTGTGCGCCAAGTGATGTAAGAACCGAAGGAGTGTTTTAAAACCAAGGCATGCCAAGGCGTATCTTGCTGCAAGCGTTGCTTGTATTTGCAGCAAATAAATACCTTGGCAGAACAATCTGTCCGTGGTTCCATCATGCTACAGGCTCTTCATGCCTGGAGGACATAAATGCCTAGGAACAGGCGCATGGCTTGTGCAAGGCATGTCCATTTTTCAGTCCGGATTCGGCGGCCGAAACAGGCATGTGAGGCTACCAATCTTTTTTGCATATTTGCTTCTTCCCTCCGTCAGCGGGTCGAAAGTTGTAGGAAGGTGTTGAGAGGAGCCAAGGCGTATCTTGCTGCAAGCGTTGCTTGTATTTGCAGCAAGTAAATACCTTGGCAGAACAATCTGTCCGTGGTTCCATCATGCTACAGCCTGGAGAAAACCATACTCCTGCGCGAAGCAGATGCGGTCACTTTGGACAGGTGACAAGGCCATGGTGCGCATGGGTATGCATGAGCAATCGTGCTGGTCACGTTCCCGGGATGTTGGGGGCCTGAACTGCAACTAATTGCAGCCACGGCGACAATCCGGGACAGGCTGAGAATGAAGGCGGCTTTGGTATGGTATGTAGGTTCAACATCCGCACCAGCGGGATGTTTGCTCTCTGGGGTTAGAAGCAGCCTTAGTTAACGGCAGTTATGAGTGTCCTCAGCAGAAGTGCAATATGTTTCAATCCTTGCGTGCAAAGAACTGCGTGGACAAAGGGCAAATGAATGTAGGGTTTGTCAGCTTTTGACTTGTGAGACAATAGAAAAATGTCTGCACCGAGGCCAGCATGTGAAGCAAAGCTTCCGTAAGTTCATGCGGCGCTTGGATGAAGATTCCACACTTGGAAGTTCCCCAGCTCGGGCCTCAGTGCACACATTACACACATGTTCAGTTCCAATTGCTAAAGGCAGCCAGCTTTTTTGAAGGTGTCCTTATCTCCGGGATTCCCAACTCCAGGGAGCGAGGACACGTGGTTGTTTCAGGTCAGCCGTCATGTTTGTAATGTTTGGGGCATTTGCCCATTTGCCTTTTGGACGAATATTTTGGCTCAAAGAGCACAGCATCATGTTGGCGGGGCGCATAGCTAGCAGGGTGACCGCGGCCCCGGCATTCCCACTGCATCGGCGACTTTTAAGCAAAGTCAGGAATCTTAGTCTGTCCTGGTGCTTGGAGCTCAGCTGCTTGCACGAGTGTTTTGCGCAGCTGTACAATGTGACGCTTTTTCCCAGCAAAGGGGTACTCAGGTCGACCGACAGCTCTAGCAGCAGGTTTTTCATTTGCTCGACTATCTCGGAAAGTCTTTCGGATGCAGTGCAGGGCAACTGCTGTTCTCTCCGAGGCAGCTATTGAAACCGGTATGCTCCAGTCCTGATCAAGCTTGGCTGTTGCTCAGCATGTTGAAGATGTCAGGGTATGGGGTCGGCCGACGCATCGGACACATTGGCCCGCGCAGGACTGGAGGACTGCAACTCAGCTTGGCATGCGTGAATTTAGGCATTCAGTACATACGACACTCGCTAAGTTCTTAATGCCATGCCTGAGGTGGAGCTTGTGCCTTGTCTCAGTGACAACTACTGCCCCATCATACACCACAAGCCCTCAGGAGCGACCTTTGTGAGGCCCTGAGCCGACAGTACACACCATAAGCCACACCATAAAGTCATCCTGTGGCCTCAGCGTGGCCTCAGCCGTGCTCAGGTCATGGACACCCCTGAGGCAGGATGAGGCAGGCGCCAGCCCCTGGGCCCTAGTTTGCTGCGCTCCTCCTTGGAGGCTGCGGCGATAGCAAAAGCAGTGCGAAAGCGAGGATGGACTTTGACCCACATCCTCAACACGCACTATCATAGCCACACAGCTGCAAAGCTGATCAGAATCAGCCCAGGTGAAGCTTCTTACTTTACCTTGTTGAGGTGATCATGTAGGAGGAAATCTCGAACTCAAGGCGCAAAGGGAGGCACGAGCTGAAAAAGGGCGCAGCAGTGTGAGCAGCACCTGTTGTAAGGCAGAGTTCCCAGCAGTTCAGATTGTGGGACACCGGAGCCAGGTCCTCTTTGTTTTCTTTCAATGCGAGAGGACACATGCAATTTATTACTAGCTTAATTTTCCCGGCTTGAGCATGTGCAAATTTATCACACATGAGCAGCCAAGTGTTTCAGAAGGCTGGCGCACAACGCACTTCATGGACCTGGTGGATAAGCAAGACAGATGTCATATCATGTTGTTAGCTACAAGCAGGTACAGTCTAAGATACCGTCTCCAATATGGTGAAGGTGAGAACAAGTTTACTTATGACGTAAGCCACTGCGAGTAGCGCTGCAAAGGCGACATCAGAGGCTGAACATGCCAAATGCGGCATTGGGCTAGCCTATGAATAACGGCGCTGCTCGCATGAGCTTGCCCTGCAAGGGATGGAACACTTTCGTAAGATCCCCTGCTCGAGGCCTGCAAGACGAGGTCATCCCAGGAATCGACTGCGAGGCGGCAGGGTCCACTAGCCAGTGATGCCCCGAAAGCGTTCTGAAAACATGCAAGCCTGCAGAGAAGCAACTCTATGACGTCAGCAGCACCACAGCAGCAGGAGGAGGAGGATGAGCATCAGCATTGGTTTCGTTTGGTTTCGTGCATCACCGCCTTCCCGTTATTCTCGCACGTGTCATCAGCAACCCCCGCATAATCGCACATGGACGACCAAATGCTGAACTCCAGGTTTACGGAGATACCATACATTAACATGTATTTGGAACTAAACTAGTTCAAGCCTTCATGTAGGAAACAAGCCCTGAACACTAACACTTCAAACAAAATATTGAAAGACTGTTGAGATGTTGAGTTTCAATTTTTCGAAATCCAGATTCCGAGCCAGTACTTCTTGAAATCCTGGGTTCCGAGTTTCCTTAGGTTTTCCATATCTTCCACATTCAACCTTCACATATTGAGAAAAATGAAATGCTAAGTTTCAATATTTGGAATCCAAGATTCCCAGATTGCCTTGGACTCATTCTCGGATTCTCGGATTTGACAATTGAAGTTCAATATTGTTCAACATTTTCATTCCACCGTGCGAAGATTCGAAGAAAGAGTTCCAAGGAATCTTGGAATCTTGCAAGCCAAGTATTGAATCTCAATCTGTCTCATCCGATCACCATTCATGGGAAAGGTTGCGGCTACCAGCAGGCTTCATGGAATAGAATTCCACCGGGACAATTTCCAGCTATTTAGGAGCTGATGCCAGGGGCGGGCAATGCCTCCGGGCAAATTGCGTGCAGGTTTGGTTTTGACAAGGCCCACGCCAGAATCTTGCTGCTTGTGCCCTGCGCCCACGCGTGGCACGTCCGACCAGCATACCGGGCGAGAGCGCGCTGGTGGAGAAATGGACGTCCAATGATGCTGATGATGCTTCGGCCAGCATCATCAGCATCATTGGGGGTCCATTTCTCCAGCTCCGGCCCAAGATAGGCCTCGGGGCTATTTTTCAAAACGGTCCGTCCCCATGATGCTCTTCTGGGGTTTTGGGAGATCCCAAGAATATTTCAAAAATCCGTCCGAAGTGCAAAAAAAAGCCTCCAGACAACATGTTGCTTGTCAGCTGCTTTCGGAGAGGGGTTTGGGCAGGCCCCTTGGAGAAACGGAAGCCCGATGATGCAGGGTCGGCACCCGGAGCAACTGCCCTCTTACAGCAAAGCTACGGCTACTTCGCTGGAGTGAGCACAAATGGAGCCTTCGGCTCAAGCTGCCTCCCTGCTAAGACAAGACAGAGACGAGATGGAAAGTCATAGTAGAAGTCTGAGGCCGGCACGAGCAGTTTCACTTCAAGTGCAGCCGAGATTGCCATAGCGGCACTGCAGTCAAACTAACGGCGTTGCATCACGCCGCGTACGGTTTAAGGCTTTAAGGGACTGGGCACGAGATCAACCGGCGCAAGCGAGAGAAGTTCATGATGTTGTTAATTTATGGTGCGTCAACATTGCGCAAATTGGCAAACCTGCTGGCCTACAAGGCCTCAGGGCCGAAGCCCGGCCTTGGGCCGAGCAGGCCCAAGTTGCAGCAGCTGCGTGAGTCTGTGATGCGCCTTCCAGGAAACGGCAGCACTTTGTTACTCTACCTTCCTTTTCCCTGTCCCCCGTCTCCTGCAGTATTAGACAACCCTGTTCCATCTCGGACCATCCAGCGCTCCCCCAAAGTCAGACCAGAAGCAGTTTCGGAGCACATGCACAGCCAAGTGCGCTCGGATTAAACGTCTGGTGATGTTCGAAATAGTATCGTGCTGCCTATGCTTTCAGGCTGTCAGGCACCAGGCATGAGACAGCCGGCAGCAAGGCTGCCCAGGGCCCAGACGGAGTCCGCGCCTTTGGGGCCCTGGGTTTCACAGTTTTTGAGAAAATCTATTGTGCGGCCTTGCCGATGGCGTGGGAGTTGGCTCAGACGTCTGCCTTGGATGTGAAGACTTCTGACGCGTTTCAGGCCTGTGCCCACAAAAAATCCAAATCCTCAAAGCGCTCGTTGAATCCAAGCTCTTGTACACTTTGAGTTGCTCATTATTTTTCTCTCAGCTTTGGATTGTCGTCACGTGGAAGGCTTTCACAATCGCTGCTTGAGCGGGATTTTAGGCTTTATCCTGCGTAGGGTGTTGAGCTAGCTTTCGCTTGTCAACGTGCCGCGTGCCGTATGATCGATTAATGACCGACTGACTGACTGAAGACTTTAACCGCGGAATGAATACCCGCAAAAGAAGAGTCCCTTGTAACGATGAGTAACGATCCCTAGTCACAGTCAACAGGAAACTGTATGTGAGTAGGAATGGAAAACCGGGCTTGATAAAACACCTAGCGCGGATTCCTCAGCTACGTCCCTAGTGAGACTCCCCAACAAGAAGTGCTGAGGATCATTCAAAAACACATTGGCATGGATCCCAGTGAGCCTTTCTACTAAGGATCCTCAACAATCTTCAGGCCCTGAATTCATGAAATTGCTTCCAAACCCTTGTAAAGCAATAGGGAAGAAAGCAAAGATAACGTTTACATATGTGGGTCATAGTAGAGCTATGTAGAGCTCATGTGAAGCTGATTCGAGCCATTCTGGTGCTACTTGCCGGAGTAAACCGATGCTGAAACAGACATCATACCATAAAGATGTTGCAGCAAACTTTTGCTTGGCAGGCCATGACCCGACTTCTACCCAGCCCACTGCTGAATGCAGGAAGCTACAGTAGCGGTAGTAAGATTTTACTTGCTGTTCTGCATACAAAAAACAATCCTGTCTATTGTAGTACGACTCTGTACTTTATGTGGAGCCTCATTAGAAACGCCATAACGCGATCAAGCATAAGAACAAGCGATAATGTAGTTCAGGGATAGCAGATATCACTAGGGTTGATTTGGCTCTGAAAGCGCACGGCTGCCAGAGGCGGACTGGTCCTGATTTCGCAACCATTCATGTGGATGCTTCACCCAAAGCGATTCCCGAAGATTCCCGACAACATCTACCAAAGGCATCCCTATTTGTTGCCATCGAATAGGACGCCTCACTCCGGACCCCTAATGCGCTTAGGAAGTACGTTCTGAAAAGCATTACGAGTCCTGAAGTCTTGGAATCTGATAAGGATCTGTAACGGAATAGCATTTTCGAAAATCCCCTCTGAAATCTTTGGATCTCAAGTCGAGGCTCCTATTGAGCATTCCGACTAGGCATTCATGCATAAACCTCCCAATGAGAATGACTGGCAGGGCCTTACTAAGCAGTACTGGTAGATTGTTAAAGAGAAGTCCTCAACAATGATTCTTCATCGGGATCGCCTGAGTAGTTATTGACCATAACTCCTGATCAAGATGACATAGCAAAAGTGTTGCGCAGTGCTTCAAACTGTGGGAAGGCAGTATCAGACTCCCTTTATTTCTAGGGACTGCATCGTTACCTTCGGGATCTTTATGAGAAGTAGGTCTTTACTGGGGATCCTCAATAGGCGCTCGTTAAGGACTTTGCTAGGCATATGATCAGAATGAGGTTTGTATTTATGTGAAGAAATAAGGATCCTTGAAAGGCAAGTTTTTCAGGCTTCCTCATCTGGAATTCTGAGTTAGGGTTCATGTTAGGGATCTTTATGGTGAACTGCCGCTAAGATTTCTCCTTAGAGTCTAAGGAGTTCTTTACTAGGAATTTGTATTATGAACCCTGCAAAAATGATATACAAGGCCAATGTGATTCTATTCAGCTCATGTCAGGGTTCTCTGTGGTGGCTTTGGCGATATGACTTCCAATACCAACACCAATACCGAGGTTGATAGTATTGCAAGCTCAAACGTCATTCCAGCACTACTACCACGAAGACAAAGGCAACTATGAATTAATTCTGATGCTGGTTTTCGTACCAACGCACAGCAGAGTTTGCCGCTTGCGAAACGGAATCGTGCCGAAAACAAAACAAATGATGCACTTCGACCTGCCGAACAACACTCGCTGGCCCTACGCCTTCCTTAAAAAGAATATCAATGCAAATGAGTGTCACTCGCATTATCCAGTAACTTGTTTTAGGAGAAGTACCACCTCGCATCATTCAGCAAAAGGACACGGACACGTCCCACATCATCACGTCGCATCTCTGCATAGCAACTGTCAAAGCAGTCCGTGGAAAACCTTTCGCAACAAGTCAAGTCTCGGAACGGGGCTGGTTAATGCTGCCGTTCTGCAGGTAGGTGAGGGTGACGAAGTCAGCTGCGGCGCCCGGGACCTGAGCAGTGCCTTTCTGCAAACACTGTCTGTTCTGGAGAGCGCTGCCTGTTCCCGTGGAGCTTTCATGGCACGTCAAGCATTGAGGCGTTACGTGCCCGTGTGCCGAGAGCCAAGGAGACGGAGGGAGAGAGTTACTGATTCATGCAGCCTTAGGATTCCTTAGGCTGAAGAGGAAGCTGAGTCTGTGAGGCTTGAAGTTGGAGGCCACACTGCGGCCCACATTGCCTATTTCTTTGAGGAGGTACCTGTCTCAGCCTGCCATTTGATGTCCTTGGGTTGTGTGCATCACTTTCTACTGTGCAGGTTCCGATGGCACTGGCTGGTGATGCCCTTTTCACGATGGGATGTGGCCGCGTGTTTACAGGCAACTTTGCGCAGATGCAGGCGCATGCTACAGGTCTCAGTGCCAGAAGCTTGTGCCGGGAAGAGGAGTTGTTTCACAGGCATCGCTGGAGAAGTTGCGACGGCTTCCTGACGAGACCGTTGTGCTTGAAGCACAGTAAGCTGCAACGGTTTGAGATATGGCCGAATTCATTTGGCAAGTAATATGGCTGAAATGCGTTTTGTGCCTTCAGACGCGCAAGCCTTGCATGAGGTTCTGCTCTCATGAGTACACAAAGGCCAACGCGGAGTTTGCTGTGCAGGCACAGCTTTCTGAGCTGAGCACTACGATGACGAGTACCGCCTGCTGCAGGTAGAGCCTCTCAACACTGCACTCCTTGCTCGCAAAGCTCAGGACAAACTCCCAGATCTACTCATAGCCTCATAGCAGGTAGTTTAAGGAGATCTGGCGCAGTCTTACCACGATGAAAGTGGCCAGATACGGCAGGTGGAGAAGATGCGGGATACTAGCCTGGCGACCGTTCCGACCCTTCTGGGCTACGAGAAAGCGACAAATCCGTTCCTGCGCTGGGATGTCCCCGCAGTACAGCAGGCTGATGCGCGGTGCATCCAGGTCAGACAAGCATGACAAGCAATAACACGTCAAGTTCGGAAGGCGGCTGGTGGACTCAGACAGCCAGTTGAGGTTTTCACTGCCATTCGACGGTGGAAGGAGCTTCATACGTGTCCTGACCTTGGAAATGTGCAAGCTGCGTTGCTGCAGGACACGGGCAAGAGGCCAGCAAGTGCTGAATCACGACTCTGAGTGCCGGCAGGTCAGATGCGAGTTGCCATTTGAGGCCTCTAAGAGCATTGAGAGGGAGTTGATGCCTCACTGCGGTTGCGTTGCAGCGCAGAGATGTGGAGATATTGGAGATTAGTCTTCACCTGAAGCGGAACCAGGCAGATTGCCTCGTACATATGCTTAGTGCCAAGTTGGAAAAAGGCCTCAAGGATGTGCACGGTTTGCGGGTTGACAGATTTAGCCTGGCCGCAGGATCTGGTAAGCTTGACTGAGCTGGAAGTTCTCGTTGAGAAGCTGGATGCCACGAAGAACGGTGGATCAGGGCTCGTTTTGATTCCCTGCCTAGAGCTGTTGCAGCCTCTCACGTTGTCTTCCGCTCTTTCTGTTTCTCTTTCTGTGTGTGATCTTTTTTTGAAATGTCTGTGTCCGCGCTCTGGCAGGTACTGTAGATTACACATTGTTCGTGGCAGCGCTGCTTCCCGCGGATGTGTGCCCCTTCCATGTGCTGCGGAAGCTTTTCCCAGGCTCTGATTTCTTTGCGTTGCATGGACACTTGCGGCATTTCTGGCTCAAGCGTTGGCAGAGGATTTGCCTGATATGGTTAACATTGATAAACCTTGGGTAGTGCAAAGCTGCCAGGGACCTGTTGTCCAAACAGTGAGGTGCCATCAATAAATAGAAGTTCAAACAGATTCCGACCTCATTTGAAGTGAATGACATTTGATTGCACCGCAAGCACCAGCATTTCCCATCGACATGAACAATTGACAGAGACAGTCCTGTACCTGCCTTGGCAGGGGCCTCGGCAGGGCAGCAGCAAGTCGAGATGCCTGCATGCAAGTCAGAATTGCAGATGGCGCCTTGAAGGTTTTATTCGAGACAATGTTGAGGCATGCTGGAAGGCATGGTGCCTGGTGTCGGAGGCTTGCAAGCATGCAACACCATGGGAGTACATTTTCAGAGACATATTATGGGGAATGAGACTGTCTTATGTCTGCAGAGATGTTAGATGGATATGCCATTGATCAGTGTTCAGGCTTGGAATGCAAAGAAGAGGCGCAGATGCGGCAATGGCGTTCAGAAAAGCCCTTCCTGCTGCCGCGCCCCTGCAGTGCCATTGCAGTGCTAGATAGCGCAGATGCAGAATCGTTGTCTCAAATCAGCTTGCCGAGGCCACCTCCACTTCTCTTCAGCCCAAGCTGACACTCGGGGAGCAGCTTCGATGCCAAGTCCCAGCTTGGGCTCCGGCGGCCCGGGGGTTCGCAAGTGACAATGGACCTGTGCCCTCTTCGCCCTCTTCGCCATCTTCACCATCTTCACCCTCTGCCTCCAGCAGCGTCGCCGTCTTCACTCAAAAAGGCTTCAAGGCCAGCATCCAACATGTGTAGCATTTTAAGAGCTTTTTGCGGGGCACTGCTCAGGCCGTTTCCAAGGCTGTGCATAAAACTGCAGAAGCGCTGCGCTGGCTTGCAGAATCCTCAGTTGCCTCATTGCCTCGAGCATTGATCTACGATTCTTGCCCGCGGCTCGCGTGTCCTAAGGTGCGTAGGATCGTGGTTCTGTGTGGAGCTTTCGTCCGTGACTGAGACAGCATCTGCGAACACGAGAACCGTCCAATACCGTCCTGCGGCCGGCATGGCCAGGCTAGAAACCCTCTCATCGTCGTGGAGTGGTATGAGGACATTCGGGATGCCATCAACCACTTTCTGAAGCAGCACACTTAGAGACGATGTTGCTCTCCATGCTTCCAGCGTCTTGGTTATTCTGCTCGGTGAGGTGGGTCTACACCGGCTTTAAGTTGTTTGGTGCCGACGTTCGGACCTCCTTCTATCTCACCAAGCGCGTCATCAAAGGCTATCCGCTTTCTGTTCGGGAGCGGCGCCTGCTCGTCAGGAGGGGTTCGCAGAACAGAACAGCTCTGCTTTGAACTTTGTGTGGTACCTGTGTTGAGGACGACGAGTGACTGCCTGAAGCTGATCCCTTTTGAGCATCCAGCGTGTTGACTTGCCAAGATGCAAGCTTTCTCCCTGGCTTTTTGCAAACGCTCTGGCGTGCCAGTCCTTCTTCCTCGTGGTGCCATTCGCAGCCTGGAGCCTCAAACAATCTTTCTGCACCTTCCTTGCCTTTCGCGATGCATCGGACCATGCTGAGGAGCTGGCATTGCCGTTCTTCCTGCGCCTGTTTCCAAACATGCTCCCATCAACATTCTTTGCCCTTCGGCTATGCTACTTGTACGTTTCAAGGTAGGCGTCGGAACCAGGATCCTTGATCTTGCAGGAACAGAAGTATGACAACGCCACCTTGGCACGAAAGCTCAAGGCCAAACAGGCCGGGACCAAGACTAACATCTGATGTGCTCTATGCTGGATGCGAAGCGCCCAGGAAATGGCAGACTTTTGGCAGCAGGTGGTTGCTCAGCGCACGCAAGAGCTCTATGAGGCTAGCGGGCATGGCTAGATGTCCTTCAAAGCTTCAGCACACTCCGCTGTTGATTCAATCTTGCAAGCAGTCAGAGTTCAAGCAGACGCCNNCCCCCCCCCCCCCCCCGCAATGCACATTCTGCTTGTGCCGGCAACAGGTCCTGAACAACATATGACATGACCGAATACTACAGCTGTTCAGGGTTAATCAGCAGCCTCTGCTCTTCTATGTTTTCTCATTATTCGTTTAAGCCATGTTTGTGCGAGAGTGCATACTGCACGTAAGGGCAGCATGGTTTCTTCACAGTGTGCTCAGCAAGCTGTCCATGCTGAATATACAGTCAAAGGCACGGACACATTCTGCTGCTGATATTTCAATCCCTTCGCGTGGCCTTGCTGCCCAGTCCGACGAGTATGCTGACAAAGCGGAAGAGTTGCAAGCATTCCAGGAGAAGCTTTCCGAGGGCAGCTTGGCTTCTGGCCTTTGAGAGCTGCTTTAGACACCATTGTAATGACAGAGGTAAAGACTTTCCGACTCTCAAAGAGATCCTTCGGTCTTCGTCTTAGATCTTCAGCGGAGCGCCATTTTTGGTACACGACCTTTCCATCGGAATCCTGCAGCAAGATGTCTGCATGGTCTCCTCATAAGCCCAGGTTCGCAAGTATCTTCAGAGATGAGATGCACTTGGAAAACATGCTCCATGGCCAGTTAAGCAGAGCAAGCTGTAGCAGTAGCTGCACACTTTGAGGCACGTGTCGCAGGAAAGTTGCTGCCCCTTTGCTTACAGCCAGTAAGAAGGTCCACGCAGCAGCTCCATGCACTTTCTCAGATGCTTGGACTGCCAACGCAGGCGACCCAGCAGTTTGCGTGGCCCTACCCAACATGAGAGATCTTTCAGTGCACCGCCGTGCAGGGCCAGGTGCACGCTCCACACGCTCCGCAGCTTTGCTCAAGACAGGATTGTTCTTTCTGACGCCTGTTTGCAGCTGACTAGGACAAAGGTGTTTCAATCAAAATCCGTGACTTGTTTTCAGCATCGTTTCCTTGGCCGGCTGAATGGTACGAGTCATTGTGGTGAGCGACACCCACAACAAACACAGGCGTCTGCGGATCCCTGATGGAGACATCTTAATTCACTGCGGTGACATGACAAACCGTGGTAGCGCACCTGAGCTTGCAGATGTCAACTCATGGTTGGGAGAACTCCCGCACCTGCACAAACTCGTGGTATGTGGTAACATGGATCAAAGATTAGAGTCACAACCAGGCCGTGATGCACGTGCGAAGTTCTTGCCGAATGCGATATATCTAGAAGATGAGGCTGTGGAAATTGCTGGTCTGCACATTTATGGATCGCCTTACACGCCAAAGTTTTGCGGATCATTTCAGCTGGCTGATGAACGTGAAGCTGACAGCAAATGGTCTCTGGTACCATCTGACTTGGACATTCTGGTGACACACGGTCCTCCACAGGGCATCCTAGACACGGTCGGCCGAGGTCACCACGCAGGATGCCCGCAACTTTTGAAGCGAGTGCAACTTGTGCAGCCTCAATACCATCTGTTCGGACATATACATGAGGAAGGTGGGAAGCTTGTTGCCCAAGGGAGGACGACTTTTGTCAATGCTGCACAGGATGTCATGGTTTTGGATGTCACCCCAAGGGATGCAGCTTCCTCCAACGGCCCAGCCACAAAAGTTGCAAAGAAAAGCAGTAAAGACTGAGTGTTAGCATCTTTTCTGACTTGATCACAAAGGGTTGGCAAAGCCCTGCAGTCTTGATGTGAAAAGAAGATGGGCAGGAGAGACAGGTAGCGTAGGCAACGAGGGGTTTATCAGGAAAGTGGCAGCTCAGCCACAGAAAAGACAGGAGATTTGTATCCGCTACATCGGCCAAGAGCAGGCAGCAGAACCATGTTGCGCGACATCCTGGAGCCACCTCCTGCATCGTTATAAGGAGTATGTTTTTAAGTTCAGTATTGGGGGCCAGGGATAAGAGAGGCGGACTACAAGCACTGCTGCAGCCACGAAGGTTCAAGACCAATGGAGATTTTGACCTTACAATAAAGGAGCCAGACAATTGTGATTAACAGTATGATTATGCTGAATAGATTAACAGCTGTGACATTGAGAGGACTTCAGTCATAAGCAGCCGATGGCTGAACGAACCCACAGTTACAATTCAAAGTGCACAGGGCATTGACATGGGAGTTTCTCAAAGTAGGGGCACCTTGGAGACCTAAGGTATACTGATTACAATCTAATGATTATACAGGGGTTTGCGGGACCCCATTAAGGATGACGTTCGGGGGCATCTTGAGAAGCTCCCATGCGCTGAGAACCTGCTCATTAGAAGAAGCCTGGAGTATGGCGACAATTATCATGTGACTCATTTCTGACCCTCGTCCGTTAGTTGTTGAGTTTGATGACATTCCCTTGTCTGCCATCACTACGAACACACAAAGTTGCTTCGCAACTGGTTTATGAATAATGCCAAGTTACAGCCATCCGCTCCAAAAGCTCAGATAGGATCCATATCCTAAACCTGTTACGACCTGCACATCCCCTTACTACAAGTGGTTGACTTAAGGCGTCCCGGGTAGTCGAAAGGCGTCTCGCGAGGGCGTCACGCTGGGGATTCTCACATTGTACCATATCCTTAGCACATCATATCCTATCGTGCGGTATGTCTCTCGATCGCGTCACACTGGGGATTCCCACGCTCCACCATGTCCTTTGCATGTCCCTTGTCTTTTTGTTTGGGCTGCCAGGTCTTGTGGCTTGAAAGTAGGCAAAACCGTCTCGGTCGCTTAGTTTGGTCGGAAGCTGGCCATGTACCCGTGGGCCTCCTTTTGGCAGAGAGTATTCCTGGAGACTTGTGTGGCAAGATCCCGTCGTGAATGCCATATGTCAGACCAACTTCTGACAGATTTGGATGCGTACAATGATTTGTTAGTTTTGGCAACGTTGCAGCGCAAGACGTGATAAGGGCGTCTACATGGGGATTCGAAGCCCTTGGGGTGCCTTCTGCCGACGTGGGGTGCCTTTTGCCTACGGGGGCGTCTAAGGGCAGCGGGGTGCCTTTTGCCCGTGTGGGGTGCCGTAGGTCGCTCAATTGTATCAGCTTAGATTGATCCAACCATGCAGGTCACTTCCATACCCTGTTCGCAGCTGCCCCAACACCCTTGTGCACCAGCCACATCTCGTTGTCTCATCCCGGCGTACCTCCCAGGAACAACCTCCACCAACAGCAAAAGAGTGTTGCTGGAGAGCTCATGCCGCAGAAGAGATCTTGAGGGACTTTTGCAGTTGCTGCTCTCAGACTTGGCGTGGACCTTCCCAATCAAAGAGTCTAAGGAGACCCGGAAGTTGGACCCCAAATCGGTATCAACATATGAGCCGCGCATAACCACCATATAGGTGCTATTGCCTGATGGCCCCTGTTGCTTGATGCAACTCCGCCCCTACGGCATTTAATGTGGACTGGTCAGACAAATGTTCAGAAACCAAGTATTTTGCCACGCTCTGATGCTCAGGTCGCGGACATTTTGGCAGGGCCATGTCGAGGTCTCTTTTCCGGTTTGGCATGACATGTCTTTCTCGTGCTTGATGGCAGGTGCAGCTCCGACACCACATTACAAACCTTCGACGGGAGGACAACCCCACAGGTGACTGTCCCGTTGCACACAACGCATGTCTTGTCTGATGGCAGGACAGAGATCTATTCTGGGAAGGCATTGACGGGTTGAAGGCACAGGAGCTCATTGATGTGTGTCGACGCAGAGCTATTCGATTTCATGGCGCTGGAACCTTGGAGCACCAGTACAAACTTGATGCAGTCCCACGCGTGTGGTCTGAAACCTATTGAGGTCACCGAAGATGAGATGCGGGAAAGCCTTAATCGCTGGCTTCGGCTGTCCGCAACCCATCGACAGATCCCAACAAGCATGCTGCTGTGGATCCAGTCTTTCTACCTCAGGCTGCAAACTGCATGCATTGAGCATTGAGAGCGTAGACGGACCTTTGCAGGGACAGGACAGATCCAGAAGCAGACAGCACAGAAGATCTGAAGTTGAAGATGCAGGACAGCCTCCTTCGCTCACATCTTTTGTGCATCAACAATGCAACGTTTGCACAGCCAAGCGTTGCAAGGAGACGTTGATTGATGAAAAGCCTGAAGATGCCTTCCTCAGTTGGGCCGAAAGGCAAAAGGCCTTGATCTCAGAACATTCCTTTGTGTTTGATGGAAGCTACGCTGCTACGCGTTACGCAGATTATGTTGTGCATGCAAATGAGATGCTCAGGATGCAGTGGAGAAGATGCAGCAGAAGCTGGAGGAGCTTCAGCGCGAGATTGTCGAAGTCATGGACCAGCACCAGGTTGGCATTCGACACCATGCCACACCCGTTTCTTCCAATGAATCTATATAGCTTGCTGGTGGCACACTGCTGCCTGCAGGACAAGTTGCAAGAGCCAGGGGACCGGACCGTGGCAGCAAACGAGGACCAGGCAGCATCACCTCTTGCAGAGGCTGCTGGCTGGCAGAAGTATCAGAAGTATGACCAGAATCAGGTGACTTTGCGACTTCAGGTTCAGCAGCTTAAATGTGGTTGCCTGCAACAAGGCTTGCTCCCACTGTGGCCATGCCCCGCTTCTGCCAGACAGTGTCTACTGCCGCAAGTGTGGGCAGAAGAGAGACCAGGCTCCTTTCATCTCCTTTCTGGCAAGTCAGGTCAGCATTCAATTGCTGCGGTTTACTTGCTACGTACACATGTCTACAGGACGAGTATGATGATGATCCGCAGGGTGACAAGAGGATCGATCAAACGATGTGGCAATGCCGTTGCATGCCACTTTGTCAGATGCGCTGTCAGGCGAATGCTACACATCCTGCGAAGAGTTGAAGAGGCATGGGTGAACCAGCATTGCCTGTTGCCAACGGGCCGCCATTGACGACACTTGCCCTGCAAAGGATCTCAACCTCTACAGACAAGTTGTGCAGAAGCAGAGAGGGCTCCTCGACCATCAGCTGAGGCGGGACGGAACTCGAAAGCAGGATGGCTAGAAATGATCATGCCTGCAGATTCTTGCTGTCGATGCGAGACACTACCCCAACAAATTACAAGGCACGGGGAAACCAGTAGCTGGGAAAAGTCCTGAAAGGCGCCTTGCCGTCTCTTGCGCTACAATTCTGTCACATGCTGCAGGATGCAGATGTTATCCTGTTAGACCAGCGTGTCCGATTGCTGGAGATGATCAACTCTTTCCAAGAGAATGCGGAGGCCGCAGCAAACCTGCTTGGACCACGCACCAGATTGTAAGCGCCCGCGTGGGCAAGCCAAGGAGATAGACAAGCTCTTCAACGCTCCTGCAGTTTCGGAGGTGCGAGCATGGTAATGGCGTTCTGTTGCTGTGGTGTGGCCGGGCATTGAGGACGTCGAGACGCTTTCTTCTAGCTTGTGGGACGACACCCCTGGCGACATTCCAGGCACGTGCTTAACGGGCGCGCCTTGCTCACTAACTAACTCTTGTGGCCCATTGGCAATGCGAGGCGACCGCTATCAAAACACACGTCCCAGTTTGGACAGGCCATTAATCATGACAAATCAATAATGGTAGATTATGTTTTTCTGAAAATAACGCGGCCGAGGCAAAGCGAGGGCTTGGACATCAGGCAGGACAGGCACCTTCCAGGCAAGTCTCAGAGCCATTCACAACTTCAGGTAGCAGCTGCTTCAAGAACCGTCGAGCTGTAGGAAGCCCTGAGCTTGCACAACGTGATCGAGCGTTGTAGACCTGAATTCGCTTTCGACTTCGCAGAGATTTTCCAAGAGCCTACTGAATGACCAAAAGCGCTGGCAAAGATGAGGCCCGCAGTGTGTCCAGCTGTAGGCGGGCCTCTTCTTGCAATGCCTGTTCAGTATCTAGGCTACTTGCAAGTGTGCTGCAAGATGCTCAAGCTTGCCCATGTTTACGAAATGCCCTACTGTACATCCTCACAAGAGGGACACAGCGTGTGCTGTACAGCGAACGCATGTGAACGCAATGTATTCATTTTGCTTTTCTGAGAAGTTGTTGGCAAAGGCACATCGGCTTCTCCTACAGAGACCTCTGCAGGTCATGAAATGAAAGAAAGAGCTTCCAAGCTGTGCATGTTGTGCCGAGCTGAACTGGTCACGGAACGCATGGAGAAGGTACTGCGAAGAGTCGCGTGCCATGGAGGCGGCCTCTCTGCTGGTAGAGCTCCGTTTACAGTACTGCAATGACATGAGTTTCTTTTTTGGGTGCATGGCTTCTGTCATGTCCCCGATTTGTTTTGCCAGATGTTTGGCCAGCTTGACATCACGGGTCGAGGTTGGAAAACAAGCTTTCATGCGGTGGTGAACAGGGAGAAGGATGCAGTTTGCAAAAGTTGCATGATGCCAGGCCTGATCGGCCCGGATGATCTGCAGAAAGTTCTCAGCACCTCCCTGCACAAGAAGGATGATTGGTCGGGCTTGCCGATGTGTGTGACGAGTCCTGGTGGCGTGAGGACAACAACATAAGGCGCTTCACGGAGATGGCTCGGAGCTCTTTCGAAGCTCTGTGCACTTGTTGTCCGGGTAAAGAAGCTTGCAATTTGACATAATTTGACCAGGCTACGCAGCATATGGCTTGTTGTAGGCAAGACTGGAGTAAGGCTCCCAAGGTCCTCAGCAGGCAAGGCACATCAGGCCGCAGCAGAAAGAAGCCATGAGGCATGGGCGAAATGCCATGGTACTCAAGACTCCAGTTCTGAAAGGCGCCGCTAGCCGCTGGACACTTGTGGATCCCCATGAATGCGGCAATTTACATGGCGGTTCCATGCTGTCCTGCTGAAAAGCTTCTTTTCGGTTCTCAGAAAAAGCTGCTTCTCTCGAAGATCACCTTCTGACTGTGGAGGGCATGAAGTATGAGACGGCCGCAATTTTACGCTTCATAGTGATGCGGCCAAAAGTCAGGACGTCAGAGAAGCGTGATCGAGCGGTATTTGAGGATTTGAGGAGATGGCAGCGTGAATATCTGATGGCCACTGGAAGCATGATTACGAAGCTACATCCCGCTCAACCCCAACGTCCTGCATGCCCCACAAATGATAACCCGCAGACTGCCAGCAAAACAAGGGTTCGCCAACCGCCAACGCACATCTTTGACCTCCAAGAAGCACCGTACGGGCAACGATGGCCTAAAATGATCCAATGATCCAATGGTCAGAAGGGTCGAACTCCGAACCTTGCTTTGATGAATGGGGTGACTACGTACAAAGTAGACGCGAGTGGTGACAGCCTGCTCCATCAGCGTTTTCGCGGTACGGATCTCCCACGCAAAGTATCTGGCTGGGGATCATGGCCCTTGACTTCTGGAACCATTTGCCTGCAAAACCATGCCAGGTATCCCTGACTCGCTGTAGGCTTGTTAGACACATGTCGATGAGGGCATAAAGAGGCTTGAGCGGACTCGCTCCTGGATGCTCAGCCGCAATGACCACAAGTAAGGTCAAGGAGTTTGACCTCAACGGTGATGGATTTCTGGATTCTCAGGAGTTCAGGTGGCAATCCTTTCCCCTGTAGCGCTGGAGCTGTAGGCTTGATAAGTTTCTCGAGCGCAGCAGCTGGGAGGAAGATGCTGCGGGCAGACGAGCCGTGGAATGAAGGCGACTCTTCAAGTGCCCCTTCGTCCCCAGCTCAGTGTCCCTGTTGGTCTTGTACGGGTGCTGATGACGGCTACCAGCAAGAACTCTGAAAATGTTGGCCTTCGGCGATCGGCAGACCTGCCCAGCTGGGCAGTAACGTTGGCTTTTGCGGTCATGACTGTGTGTGTCTGTGCGTATCTCCCTCAGGTGCCTTCATTGAAGACCTCGCAGGGAGGGCTTCAGCTTTCAGAGCCCGTGCCACAGTTCTGCAGGGTTCATCGGGAAATTTATCACACCATAAGCAGCAGGACGCACGGCACTCCATCTGTTGGCCCCCATGTCTCCTCCTCGTGCATCAAGCATCTGAGGCAGCATTTGCGCATGGTAAGTACCCCCTTTGTTGTCCCGCGGCTCAAACTCGACAAAGAGGCCGGGCAGGGGGTTGGTGGGCGAATTTCGGTCCGGGTTACGGGGCAGGGGACGGTGAGCATTGATGCCAGTTTCAAGCAGCTGGGCAGCTGGGGGCTTGGACCGGAGTTGCAAGTGCCACATTTGGTTCTGTCGCAGGGCTTGCCTTTGCCAAGATGGAAGCAAGCATTAGCCCTTCAACAATCCACCTATGATTCAGAGCAACTAAGCTGCATGTTTCTCTGCACGTGGAACTGCAGCTTAAGTAGCCATGGCCAGCCCATGGTGCATAGTGCATGTGGAGCTGTATTGGATTTGTCAGGTTGGATGCATGCATGGTTTCTCAGAACTCCGCTTCTAGGGCGCAAAGAAACCTGTCCAGGCATCGCTCTTCCTAGACGAGTTTTAAATCGCTTTCGATTCAACCCCTCCTTCAAACCCTCACACAAGTGAAACCGAGGTTGTGTTTTCTTTTTGGTTTGGGTACTTGGGCTTTTGCGGGATTGGGTGGACAAGTGCAGGTCCTTTCTAGCAGCAGAAGGAGGCCCTGCAAGCCAGCAGGGCCAAAGCAGCTCCTCAGAAACATTGGCTTCTGAATTACCTCCTTCAAGAGGACCTTGCCACTCTCTTAATTTCCCCCTCTACTGCATTGTCGTGGCCATCAAGTTGATGAATCTTGGAAGCAACATGTTCTGGTTTTAAACAGGATGTGGATATGGAACTGGGAAGAAATTTCGTTGGACTTAGGGGCCATCTCTTCAACTCCAGAGAACAAGGAACTCCGACTCAAAGACCGGGCAACAAGCAGGTGTACGTTGCAGAAGGGCTTCATGTAATACCTTCAGCCCAGAATAGTTGCGAAAGCTTTCTTTGGCGGAAGCTTGTGCTTTAGTTTCGCAAGCCCTCACTTCAGTTGAATGCCGAGCAGCATGTGCCGGCTCTCATACGTTGCACCTCGAGCGCGCTTGCTTGAGCGAGCTTCATCTTGGGTAGGGCTCATGTCAGCTTCAATATTTCAATATTGCAAGACTTGACATTGTTGGCTTGGTTTTGCACTGGTGCTTCAAAAGAACGGCAGCAAGGTTCGCTCAGAGCGGCCGGTCCAGCGCTTGTTAAAGTTGTTACAGTTCGCAAGATACATCTATTTGAGTGGTCCAAGCCAAACGAACATTGCGCAGGAGTTTCCAGCCATCAAGGTTTGAGACTGCATAATTAGCTGCGCAAGCCCAACTATTTCAGGGATTCCGGCATTCCCTGCAAAGTGAAACAAACCTGAACTATTTCCTGGGCTCGGAAGTCATGAGGAGGGCCTCGAAAGGTAGCCTTTGTGAACAGGGAGCCTTTAGCAAACGTGCCAGAAGCATCCAAAGACACATCATGACAGCAGATTATTTGCCATTATGCCCACAGGAGGAGTCCTCATAGGTAGAGGTTTGCAGCGTCGAGCATGTGCGTGGACTGCTGATCTGCCAAGGCTGGCCACAGAAGTGTCACCGTGCAGACAACGTCGGCAAATTTGCCATTGGATTGCTGCAGCAACCAAAGATGCGAGCACGCTTCCCGACACGTACGCACTCTCTTTGCTGTTTGCGCCACAGGCTGATGTACCATAATAACGCTGACCTTGGCTTCAACAGCGCGTGCACATGCAAATGCATATCTTAAGATACAGCAAGCCCATCTTCGGTGGGGTTGCTAGTAATTTGTTCTAGCTTCGCAAGTTTGAGTGCCAGAAGAGATTGATCCGGGCCAGTCCTTTGATCATGAAGAGAAGCGCAGAAGAAGCCTTTGGAGCAGGCAGGGGCCAGAAGTTTTCTGCGTACAAATGTATAGACCTGCAATGCTGAGGTGACCCTGCCTCTACTACTGGATTTCAGCCTACAGGCCACTGCGGAGATACATACAATTGCAATGCCTTGAGGACTACTATGAGTTTTACAGGTCGTGCGCTTGCGCCGCTCGGAGGTCAGTTCGCAGAGAGATGGAACATTTCTGCCAAATCATGGCCGCTGTTTTCGAGAGGAACAGAGCACCAGAGCACCAGACGCTCTTTAGAGCGATCGCATTGACCTGTCTGTCAAAGAGCCGTTCCGATCAAATTGTAAAAGGGATTTGGTACAGATAAACACACCCATGCCGCACAGTTTCAGCTTCAAGTTGTGTGGGTGGCAAGTATTGCTGGTCAAGTGCCATGTAGTGTAGATGCCCTTCAGACGGATGTCTTCAATTGACCCTTGTCTCCTGGGCTGCTAGACAGATGTCGAGCTAACCAGGACTCGACATTGTCTTTTTGTAGCATGGCACGTCTCAGTGCGCCCAGACACGTCAATCAGAGACTCGACATTACAAAACAGCAGTTTGAAGGGTCTGGTTCACTCTGTTCTTGCAACGCAGGTGCTGCCATGCTGGATCCAAAAGCTTATTTTGCCCAATGGCAAGCCGCAACTCAGGCTGTAGGGCCGTCAACTCTTCCAGACTTTGTGGTTTCAGCTGGCCCCTCAGCCCCTCAGGCAGCTGCAGCAGCACCACAGTCCTTGCCTTGGCTTCGGAAGAGTCAGAAACGACTTTTCAGCACACTCTGCAAACCCTGTGGAGATTTTGGAGGCCAAGCTCTGATGATGCTGAACACGATGCAGTCATTCACCAGGCATCCTGTGTCATCCTGCACGGCGTCATGCCGCATGGCACATATTTTCCTTCTCCTAGCAGGTGGCGTCTCTTTCCGCTGTGCGGTGTGCAGCTCACGTCAAGGACTGCGCCTGCGAAGTCGAGACCTTGAGCACTTGAACAAAAGCCTCACGGGACAGCAGAGGAGAAGGGGCAAAACTTTACGTCATTGGTCGCCATCGAGGCGTTGCCATGTGAGATGCAAGGTAATGGGTTTTGCCAAAATTGCCATGGGCAGGCCTTGTGCACGATGGCTACAAAGAGCTCCTACAAGCTTAGAGAGGATTTGTTCAAGCAGCCACACGTCTGGAGCTTGAAGTTTGAGGCAGATGCAGCTCTAAAAGAAGTCACAGCAAACACACTTCCAAGGTCAAAGCCCTCTGCAAGAGAATACAGGTGCAAGTGCTGCAAGTGCTGCAAGTTCAAGTTGTCACAGCGGTCAGAAGATTGTCGAGGTTCACGCGTGACTTGCGAAAGTCTGGCAGGAGCTCCTTCACCAACCTCCGCCCGCTCTTGACCTGCGAGACCTGTCACGCGCGGTGCAGTGCTCGGCTTCTTGCTAGCCCTACGTGCTGCAGTCAGCAATTCTGGCCCTGAACGCTACTCGTAGCTGCATACTTCCTCAGTGAAGCAGCAAAGCCTCTGCCGCAGCTGCGCATGCTTTCTGCGCAGCTGATGAAAAAGGGTGTTGTGGTTCTGGCCCAGCGACACAGCAGCCCCCTCCACAGCTTGCGTCCGGATACCTGTTATCGTGCGGGTCGCAAATTGTCGGTACTTGGGAGGAGGTCGTGTACCTAAAGTAGCCTTTGGAGGAGATATCCAAGAGGACTTTTCTAGGAGAGGCTGGCAAACTGCATTTCGAACGGAACAGGCTCGCGTATTCAGGTAGTCTTTCTTGGATACAGAATTTAGAGCGCCCACTTTTCAGGAAGTACGTCGGCCAAGAAGTCTACAATTGCACAAGTCAGCAAAACGACTGCTGCATGACATGGATCGCAAGACGTGACGCAAGAGTCCGTACAGAAACAAAAGAGGCCGGGTGGAAATGGAGGGAGGGAAAATAAGAGGGAGAAAAAGGAAGTTCATATTACTCAGAAATCTTGATACTGTTTCAGACCTTCTGTAACGTGGGTACCGAACTGGCTCTGCCATGATGTTACCACCACGTTTGCAACATCATTCTGGGTGATGCAACGAATATGTCGTGGCTAGGCTTGCTGATTTGAGGCAGAGGCCTTGGCCAAATTCCCTGAAGAAGCGCGAGGCAACGCAGCGATGAGCATGGGCCGGAAGCCCCAGATTGTTCTGAGCTTCTGCAAGAGATGCTGAGATGGAGTTAAGGAGCCATTGCCAATTCTATGAGCCGCTAGCTCAGTCGTTTGGAAGCTCTGGTGACCAGACCCTAGCAATTCTACTTGTAGCTTCTTGCCATTGCTTGAGGTCAACTTAATACAAGCGCCTGGAGCGCTGACACAGCCTCCAAACTCCTCTGGTCTATGGCCAGATGCGGCAACGGCGAGGAAATCCAGAAGAACAAGCAAGTCGTAACTCACGTTGTCAAGGCAAGGTCCTTCCGATATGTTTTCATTTAAGCTGACCTCCAGCTTGTAGGAACTGGTACGTGACAAAGGGCGACGTATCCAAGAGCTGTCCTACGATGGACTCGCGCACCTTCTTTGGGTTTTGAACCTCAGCGATCAGCATCACTTAGCGAGTTATGAAAGGCTGGCGAAGTGCAAGCAAGGCCGTCTCCAGAGCTCGCATCCACAAGCGCGGTGTGGACAGACAGACTGTCCACATGCAGGACCGCAAGAGCAGAGTGGCCACTCCTGGATGGTCAAATGCAATGTCAAGCAAAAATCCAGACTGCACGCCCATTGCGGTTTGTCAGTTGCTCTATAAGTAGAAATCATAAGCAAGACTTGGTGCAGGACAGTGACAGCTTTCTGTTCCAGCTTGCATCCAGACGCATAGTCGACGAGATTGAGCGAATCCCTGTGACGCCTGCTGCCCCAGCTCAATCTTTACAGTTGTTTGTTGGCCTCTGCGTGCTACGACGTGCTGCAGTCATCCGGCTGATCAGGCTTCTGGCAGATGTGGTGCATATCCACAATGAAATTGGCATTAAGAATGAGAGGCTCTTCAGAGCCCGCATCTGAGAAGTGCCGGCAGGTGTTGGCTTTGCTTTGCATTCTTGCATCTTGTCAATAGCATCGGATACAAGAGGCCATCTGCCCGAAGATCGTGTCAAAACAGAAAGAGCTTCGAGATGATCAGATGTCGAAGTGCATCAAGGTAGAGATGCATTCCTCCTTTACGCCGCCATTCTCAAACCTCTTTTCGCAGGCCTATACCCGCTTCATGATCCCACTGAAGGAGGAAGCTCAAGGATTCAGGACCCCTGCAACATCCTTGCATATCCTTGCTAAAAAGGCTCCTAGGCTTCGTCCTCAAGAAAGTGTAAACCACATGTGTGATGTGAAGTGTAATGTGAAAGGACGATGGCAGTTGTCCAGAAGGGCGATTTCCTCAGGTGCGCGCCGATTGTCGCCCATCGTCGACTGCAGATGCCATATTCGGTAGCCGCATTTCAAGCAGGCCGTCGGACAAGCCGAAGCCACAAGGCAAGAAAACGTTCGACAAGCCGCAGGCTGCGGCATGCTGGAGGATATGTTAGAGATGCGACAGCAAAGATTTGAATTGAACATGCGCGTATGTACCTGCTTCCTGCGATCGATGGTGAAGGCACTGTATCCTGCAACCCAGCTGCACGCAAAGTAGTGATACTGTGGTGTGGATGATGTTCAGTGAAGTTGCCGGAAATGTGTCAGCTGTCATGATGACGGCATTTGTGAAGAACTTGTGGCACGGCGTGAAGACAATTGTTGTGTGCGTGGAAATGATGATGCGCATCGCAGACTGATGCCCAAAAAGGTTCAGACTTTGGAGAGGGTGATAGTTCTCCGTGCCTTCGTGCAGTGGTTGGATGCCCGATTCAGCATGAAGTCGTTTTTTTCAGGTGCAGGTAGTGCAACCTGATGCAGTGCCAGAAGCATTTCAAGTCTGGTGGCATCCGAAGAAAGCGCTCATAATTTTGGTCGCGGGATGTGACACTGCACATTCGCTTTTCTTATCTTTACCTTCGAAGATGATCACATGAATCAGGCTCTCTTTCATCACTGTCAGTAGTTTACAGCAAAGGTGTTTGGCTTCCTGGGCCCAGCAGAAGCAGCTAAACTGTGTCCGTCTTTTGTGTGTCTGTGTGCAGTAGCTGTTGCCATGTGGTGGTCAGCTTATGTTGGACTGCTCGTCGGGTGTCTGTGGATCTGTGGTCCTGCTGCTGGAGTCTCAAATGCAGCATATGCAGCAAGAGAGTTCTGACTTGCAGCACTTAGGAAGGCACAACCGGCATTGTAGATGAAGCGATCACCACAGAAGTGCCGTTGCCACCTGTTCGAAGCACTGAGTTCAACATGAGCATTCTACAGATTTTTCACACACTTGGTCTCGTAACATGGGAAATCCTTGAAATGGCGGTCAGGAACTAAGACTGGCATGCTCCGGTTAACAAGAGCCAGTTCGCAGCTTCAGTACAGTAAGCTTGTTTGCTGCTTGTGTACTTGCTTTCAAAGGTTCCTTGTGATGGAAAAGGTTGTGCCGCTGTCTGACAACAAGGTGCTGGCTTTATTGCCCCTTTCTTGTTTGGCGTGTATTCGCACGAATGCTAGAACGAGGTGTTCGAAGTTCTGGCAGGTCTTTGGCAGATTGTGCAGGGAACTTGGCAACGTGTCATGTTATTTGGTTGCAGTTTCGGCCTTCGGTCACTGTACATGAGATTGCGCGCTGTGCATTCTCAGGGTTGGGGGATAGAAAATTGTAAGGGAGCAAGCCCATGATTGAGGATTTTGACCTACGCTTTTGAGAAGGGTAGAGGATATACTGCAAATTGAAGGATTTTTGGGTCGCCCAGAGGCTGCAGATACTGTAAATTGCAGCATTTTGGCTCGCGTACAGGCTGCAGATATTGTAAATAAATCCCAACATTTGGGGCTCATCTAGAGCTTTGAGATACTGTGAATTACAGCATTTGGAGCTTCCTCGCGTTTGCAGATACTGTAAGTTACAGCATTGGATCTAAGCTCTTTCAAGGATGCAGATGCTGAACAGTTTCCAGACGCCAGCATGTCATTTCCTAGTCCTTGCCGATGTCTCCTGTAAATTACAGCATTTGGAGCTTTGCAGAGAACATGGAAATTGCGAATTAAAGCATTTGGAGATATTTGGACAATTTTGGAGAGCTCTCAGTCGCGCTGTTGGATGGCCTGAAGAAAGCTTGCTGGGGCGCAGCCCAAACAATATGATCTTCATGGTCATCCCATATTCTCTCTTCCAACATTCTTTCTAACTGCAAGCAGAATGGCATTGAAAAGCAGGGGGGTTGGGGGGCACAGCCCCCCCATTTGCAAACAACGTGGTCCGCACAACCCTCCCTTACTGCAAACATGGTGATGTCATGATGCTTTTTTTTACCACACAAGCGGTCTTTCTTGTTTTTGTTTCCCTTATTTCTGTGTTTGGTTCGTGTTTTCTTTCTGTCTTTCTTTTGTCGCACATGCTGTTCTGCAATTTCAGGCTTTCTCTCCACTGGTTGGAAATCCCCCTTATTTGTAGCACCTCCAGCAGGCCCAGGAGCCTAGAGGCACTGGGAGGCCTTGGGAGGCCTGTAGAGTAGAGCCTAAATACAGCATTTGCAAGTCTTCGCAAGCCTTTTTTTGATCCCTTATGAATTTTCTTTCTGAGCCCTCATCAATTTATTTTGATGCCTCTCCCCATTCTGAGCCCTCCCCCAATTAAATTCTTTGAAGTGTGGTTCAATGCTATGCGGACGACCGGCGGCCATACTGCTATTTCCTCACTTGAATGGTTTCGGGCTACTGGCAGGCCTGAGCTCCAGCCTGCGTTCGAGGATTTGCGCAGCCGCGAGGAGCCAAGGACACTCAGCATCAAGGACATGCTGAATATTGCTGAATGCAGAATACTGCAACTCTGTTTGGTAATCCGACTGGCAGCGGGCACATAAGCTCGACCTTCTTCGCTTAGAGGACACAGATGGCGAGGTCGATGCGATGTTCACGGCATACCTGCGCCAGCGCCGCAGAGTTGAGCAGCTTGAATTGAAACCTTGCATTGCAAGCTGTCGTCAGGCCCAGACGAAGTCTCCTGGTTCGGCAAGAAGTCCGCAGTGACCACACAAACACACCATCAAGCATGCGCTGAAGGTCCACCCCAGCAAATCTTTTGCTTCAGCGAGCTCAGGGTCATAAGCCGGAAGTCTTTGACTGTGATAAGTGCAGCTGTTCGCTAGGTGTGCCAAAGAAAGCAAAAGCGCTCGTGCAAGACCCTCTTGGGGAGCTCCAGCAATACAAGCAGTACGCTGAATCCATGCTAGCAAAGAATGAAGCAGCATGCGGAGGACCTGACAGACAGCCAAGCAGCACAGGGCGGAGAGCGCGCACGGTGGCAGACCTCATGAGCTTGGCCAAGTCCTCAAGCGCAGCCGCAGAAGACGATGAAGTCATCACGAATAGAAGACGTACGCCAGCAGACCCAGCAGACCAGGATGCAGCCAACCGAAAACGAAAAAAAAGAGAACACAGCAGAGCAAGATCGCCATCCTCCGGAGCATCGGCAAAAGCCACGTCTACTTCGCGAAGGCCCGCACATGTTGTTCAGGAGTGCCGTGGAACAGGGCCTGGAAGCTCCAAAGCGTCACTTCGCTAACTGGAAGGAACAATGAATGCTTGACTTTAGCGACACGTTGGATCGCTGTGTACAGAGAAGGAGCGTGTGCAGATGCAGCCTTGTACATGAACAGGGCCGCTGCCAGCGGTGCCGGTCAGCGCGCGGCGCTGTTGAACTCTTAGATGCCCTTACAGGCTGAGTCTAAGTCAGAAAAGTCCACAGGAAATCGCACTCCAAGGCCAGCTGCTGAGCGTGACGCTTTGGTCAAGATCGTTGAGGATGCAAGAGTGCTGCTACCTCCGGAGCTTCTCTTGACTCCTTACGCTTCCACTGTCACTTCCATATGTCTTGCACCAGGAATTACAGTCCGACCATGATGTGAGCAAGTTTCTTGCGAAGCCCGTCAACCTCAGCAGGCCAGTCTTTGCACAGTTATAGCCGCGGACTGGCTGCAGTCTGTACGCCATGCAAATGCTGCTTGCCATCAGTTCTGGCCCAGGGTTGGATAAATGAGCTCCCAGCATGATTGCGCTGAATGGATAGCTGGATAGCTGGCCTCAACACTAAGCAGGAGTGCCGCGGGTTTTCATTGGTAGCAGCACAGAAGATAAAGCTATCAGACATTTTGTTTTTACACGGATATTGCAGCTATTGGAGTGATGGGCTGCAATGGAAGCAAGAGACACCTGCAGAAGGCTGGCCTCATTGCATGACGGCATACGGCCATGGAGTGCGACGCTTTCTGATTTGGAGGAAGCAGGGGAAGCTAATGCCTGCGAGAATAGAGAGGAGCTGGAGATAACAGTGAGACACGTGGAGACACACGTCTTATCACGTTTTTGTGCTTTCCTCACAACCTGAAGTTCTGAACTGCGGAAGGAGCCCCGCATTCTGTTGGGGCGCATGCCGCATCACCTCACAAGTGGTGCCTCACCCGCCCTGCAGCTGAAGGCCAAATGCTTTGAAGTTTTCAGCATGATTAGCGGTGCTGCAACAGACTGTCAGAGATCGGGCTCTTGTTTGCACAGGAGGAGCGGCGGCTCAAAGCCCTGGGCATCCTGGACAGGGAGGAGGGAGCAAGATGCCGCGTGTATCCGGGACTGCAACTTACGTGCTCAAGACGTGTCAGGAGGTGGACCTGAGCGCCCCGAGGCATCTCTTTTAGAGCTGGGCATTCGGGGCCCGGAGGTCTTCTTGCGAGATGCTCAGGTGTTTCGGCCGAGACAGGAAGCAAGGAGTTCTCTCCGAGACAGAAAATACTGAATGGAGCGATTCAAGCTCGTACATGTTTGGAGAGGCAGGCACCCAGAAATACCCAGAATCCACCGACATCTCTCATGAGACCGGCCTGGCAGGCAACGATGTCAGGGGGCAAGAGGCGCTTGGTCATCAGGGGGCCATTGAAGGATTCGCTGGGTTCGGGCCCCGGGCATCGCAAAGATCAGAGCTGCTGCGCAAAAATCAGACTTAGAGACTAGCATACCATCCGTGTTCCGTTCACCTGTAATAAAGGAGTTCGACGGGGGCTGGGCACCGAGTGCTCTGCGTTTGGGAGGCAGTAGCCATTGGTGGTGTCAGTTGCAAATCCAAGTCCAAGGCTCGTGTGCTCTCGAGCACAGGGAAGGCACTACAATGCTTCGCGCGTGGGACTGGCAGATTTGTTTGTGCTCACTCATTGAAGCTGCCTTCTTTTGTGCATGAAGGCCTTGCAACCAGGCGGTATCCGCATTGATGAGGTGCTTCTAGGACTCCGTCATGTGCGGGCGCATGGAAAGTGCTAAGTTTGCTGGAAGCATTGCCATCTCTGGAGGAGTGAAGCTGGCTTGCTTGGCGTACACTGATGACCAGCTAGCTTCTCTGAGTCTTGATGTGGACTTCACAGAATTAGCTGCTTTCTAAGAAGTGAGGCGGGGAACACTCGAAAGCCTTGGTGGCACGAGGAAGGCAATCGAAATGATCGCCGGGTGGCGGGTCTGCAGGTGGCGAGGTTTTCTTCCCGGATTTCTAACCATTTCGGAGCATTGACCCCGTCCAACCTGGGTGCGCCATCTTATGCCATCGTATCCTGAGGCCTGAAGCGCGGCGGCCCTTGTCGGAAATCCTGCAGGGCCTTGGCTACACCGTCGACCGGATCTTTTCACACCTTTCACTCTTCGGGAGTGTGCGGACTGCCAGGGCCTGGCAGATCTCAGCAGCTTTAAATAACAGACTTTCAAGCAATTGCAAGTGTATTGTGTTTGCAAACGTGAGGTTGATGCCCACGGATTCATAGCTCACAACGAGCAGGAAGAATGATCAGCCAATGTCACACCCTGAACAACGTCTTGAATTTGCCCTGGCTGGTAGTGTCAGGACGTGGTGATATCCTACAGAGGGACCACGGGGATCGTGGAGTGGCTGACGGACTGCAAAGGGTTTCACTGCCGCAAAGTGATGCTGATGTCAAGGTATTTTGTGCTTTTGAGCGCATGGGAAGGCAACAATTTTTGCGGCTTCTGGGTTGTTCAGGACTTGGCGGCCAGTCCGACGCCCTTCCAGCCACATTTACATCAGGAGAAGACTAGCTGCTTTCCGGCAGGCCCGAGCGTGTGCAGTGGACAGTGGTTGTGGACAGTACTTACTTTTGTACTTCTGGTCTGCCTTCTAAGAGCATCTTGCACTTATTGAGGTCGACAATCCCATCCACAGGCCCACCAAGGTTTCTACGATGCCTTTCTGGTGCAGAGCTTGGTTGCTGGTCCACGACTGCTTTGCTCGGCCAAGCGCCATTCGTTGCAGGCATCGGTGTGTGATCTCAACCAGAAGCTGATGCCACAGCTTGATACCCAGCATCTAAATCTAAACTGGACATGACACACCGTGCAATCAGTGCTGTGGGCATGTGTGATAGTTTGGCAATGCATTCGGACAGGACTGCAAGTAAGTGTAATTGCAAGATACAAGGCCTGCTGGTAGTGATCTGACATGTTTTATGGGGCACTAGAGGCTGCGAGACATATCACGCCCAAAGAGGCTGATAATCGCACGGAGCCCAGCGCAGTGCTTTGTCCAAGACATTCGTGGGAGTGGCATGGAGTGGCATTTGCCGTCGACAGGACACCATTGCCAATCTTTCGCTTTGCATCTGAGGATTCCTTGCGCAACAGAAGTAAATCAGGATCCTGAACACATACGCTTGCGTTGCACTTGCCGACCGGATCTGGTTTCTAAGTTGTTCTCTTCACAAGCACGTAAGAAAACACTTCAGGCTCCGACAAGTTCTGATTTTTTCGGCGCAGTCACCCGCCCGCAGACCCAGGAGAGCCTCGGAAGCCGACTATATTCAAATTAACCCATATATCAAATTCAACCCAAACCGAAATCCAAGCATATTTCCGGTTGTCCAGCCCCGAAAAATGAAAACGCTTTTCCAATTTGCCGAAATGACTGCAGGTTCAGAAGATTCCTCATCACAGCTATTTGCGAAAATGCTACGCGCGGGTCAATTTGAGTGCTAGCGCGGGGACCGATGGCTTACGCAAGATGAGAATCACGAATCACTTGAGCCTCCACATCAAAATGCAGTGGGCTGCCGCCGCGGTAGATTCATGAGGGGAAGGGACTATGAACGCAAGGAGCCTGTAGTCTGCCTGGTGGCTTCTTGGTGCTTCTAACAGTCGTGGCAGGGGGAAAGAGTGTAATGGGCCTTGTGGGCTGCTGGTTCAGGAGATCGTGGATGTCATGCTCTACGTACGAATTGTACGATTTGCCCGTGCAATTTCCAGGAAGGCTCCATGCTTTTGCTGTGACGCTGAGCACCTCCCGCATCTTAGATGGATGCTTTGGGCTCCTTGCGATCGGCCGATGATCAGGAGGTGCAAGTCTGGAGCCTTGCGCAGTGAAAGGAGCAGATGCAGTTTAAAGAGTGAAATCTTACTGCATCACAACGCTACTGGTTGCGCGTGCCAGGTCCTGAAAGGCTTCGGTTCCCAAGCAAGGATTACGTTCACGATGTTTACCATTATCCACTTGCTTTTTGGGTTGTCCTTGATCCACTCCTCTGCGCCTCCCCGGCTTATCATGCTCCTACTTGTAGTGGTACCTGCATCAAGGTCGTAGATCACTAACCTTTGCCCTGAATGGTGCGGAATTGATCCGGACCAAGCTGCCATGAGGACCATAGCACTGCCATGGCCCACTGCATGACCGTCGCCACTCAAACTTGCACGAATCAAGAAAAATTGGTCCGAACACATTCTTCGATGGCCTTCCACAACAGAAGGGGTTGGCAGAATTGCCAGGCTTGCGACAGGCACTTTTTCGAGAAAGCTCTCTTGCGGGGGAGACGTTCGCAAAGCACTCACAACAAAGATAAATATGGGTTGGGATTTCAAAGCTCCTCGACTCTGGTTTCCTCTTGGTCGGTTTTTCTCAAAATTAATTCCTTTACGTTACAAGCGTTGCACAACCCTGGCACGCAGAAGCTGGCGGAAGCTCGGGCGGAAGGCGGCGCCAAGATCTTGTGATATGGGACACCACAAGCTTGCCGAACAGGATGCTGAAAGCTTATGAAAAAGCATGGGGGCTCCAGAAACCCAAATGCGTTTCCGGCCTCCCAAAATGCTGTGTGCTAGGTCCTTTATCCATCCCCCAGGCACTCAACTTTGTAGACCCCGCAAAGTCCAATGCGTTTTTGCAGCCTCTCAAGATGTCTTGCGCCAGGTCCCCTTTCCAGCCCCCAGGCCCTCAAATTTGGAGGCCCCCTACGCCAAAGGCATTCTTCCAGCCTCAACACGCGTTGTGCCAGGTTATCGTGAGTTGGGTGACCCAGACTGGCCACCACAATTTCCTTTTTCCATCCGGGTGACCCAGACTGGCCACCACAATTTCCTTTTTCCATCCCCAAGCCCAAGCCCCTGCACAAACCCACGTGCAATTGTGCATTTCCCCAGCTAGCCGAAGATTCGCGAAAGATCGGCGGAACTGGAAGTGTCGTTAATTTGGATGCGACCCATGCTGGCCTCCCCTCTAATGCTGCCAGCTCAGATGAGGGTTGTCCGAAAACCCTTGACTACAATTTTAGATTAACGAAAACCAAGTGTAACATAATTTGTCAAAAACCGTGCGCGCGCAAGCTCCGCGCAAGCACGGCGCAAGGTTGGCGCAAGGGCTCGAAAACGCTCATGGTATTAGTTTTGCAGTGTGATGAGCCTGCGCGAAAACCATTGTGAGCCAAACAGTGCGCGCGAAAGCTCGCGCAAGCTCCGCGCAAGCNNGAATATTGGACAACCCCCAGATAGACGGTTTCAGCTCTTGAGGGCTTACGGAAGGGCCCAGGGAGAGCATATGTTTCGGTGTGAGGGAGCGGCTTGACCTCATCCCTGCGATTGACCATGGATTCAATCTCCGTCCCATAAGCGCACGGAGGTCTGTCCCTGTTTCATCCCTCGAGCAGCTTATGCTCAGGTAGCTATGAAGCCACGCGCGTTTACTACCGGCCCGAAATGCAAGGGGATACGTCCCTGAAGAATTCATTGAACAGCTAAGGTAGTCTTGAAGCCATGTGCTTTTACTACCGACCCAAAAGCTCACGGGGACATGTCTCTGCATAATCCCTCGAACAGCTTAGGTAGTCTTGAAGCTATGTGCGTTTACTACCGGCCCAAAAGCGCACGGGCACATGTCCCTGTATTCTCCCTCCTCAGGTAGTCTTGCAGCCATGTGCGTTTTATGCCGGCCCGAATACGCAAAGGGAAACGCCAAGGGATACGTCCCTGTGTGATAGGTAGAATGGCTTAGGTAGTTTCGAAACCAAGTGCGTTTACCATCGGCCCCACAGCGCACGGGGATATGTCGGAAGCCATGTGCGTTTACTACTGGCCTCTTGACATGCCCAAAATCCCAAGTAACAGATCTCTACCCAGAGGCCGAGGCGAATTAGAATAACACCCGCATAACCGCAGGCCACGAGAATGCAACATGTCAGGGGCATGGGCGCCGCCTCGCCCAAACCTGGGGTTTGATCCACAGCCTCATCACTCTTTTGGCTGACGCTCACTAAACGGTCCGCCTCGCAGGAGAGACAATGTGGAAAAAGAGCCAGAGCTGCAGTCCACTGCAAGTAATGCTGATGCTACCAGTAGAAACTAGAAAGTCGTGAGGCAATTGGCCTTGAGCTTTGCTCGGCTGGGCAGGAAATAGGACAGACGTTGATGGATTGATGTCGGCGAGGATGGCTTTTGTCAAGCTCTGCAGGGATTGAAAAAAGGCATCAGTCGTAATTCTGCGCAGGGGAGTGAGTGTCACGACACGTCCAGACAGTCGTTTCCTACTGACATAAAAAGGTGATGACGACAGACGCGCGCCTCAATTTTGCAACGGGGTGTACTACTGGATCATACTATCCGTGTGGGGGAAGACAAAGACAAGGAGGATGTTTGCGGGTGTTTGTGATGGTGTTCACTTGTTGCTGCAACAAGTGCTGATTCAAGCTACAGTGTGGGCTTACGCAAATTAGACTTGCCAGGATTGCATTAGGAATATCACCATGGTGGGGTCTTCAGCCACTTCATGTACGCAATTACACACTGCTGGCCTGAGGTTGGACATAGCATTGGAGGAGCCATCGCAATGGGAGCTCTTGGCTTCCTACCTGCAAATCACGAAACATCGGAACTATCATGATCAAGCTCTTGCTTCATCCAGACATCTGATGTTCTTTTGCTGCCAGCCCAAAGCGTTTGTGTATTACCTCAATTCACGTGTGCCGCATGGTGTGCTGCATTCAGGAGCGAAGTGAAGTTGTGCATGGGCAGCGTATGGGCTGAGGCTACTTGCTACAGGCCTTTAACTTCATGACGTCCCCGTGCTCGAGCTTAATTTGCTGTGTCATTTGGTCGCCCATCCTGGCAAAGTTCTTGCTTAGCTATTCATACGAGCCACCGACTTTTTTTGCCCGAGGCATCGTATACTTTTTGTTAGCATCGGACAGCCTCGCTTTGGCGATGAAGTTTTCGCTTCTTGGCTGGACAAGCAGATCGGCGCCCTTCGACGTCGGGGCCCAAGCGGGACAGACAGGCGGCGCTGGCTGTGCAGTGCTATGCCTGCTATGCTGAGACGAGATACGGATTCGGCCAAGCTTGCAGGTCTTGACCACATCCAACGGTTGGTGTATTGATCTTTTGGCAGGAAGTCACCTGAAGTGAGCAAGGGAATGTAGCAAAAAGTGATTTCAAGCAATGGTATGCACAACGTTTCAAGCTCTGGCTTCAGTACCGTCATGTGTATGCATGGCAACCACCAAGGTCGCGGCAAATGCTGTGCGGTGCGGTTAGCACATGATTGCGATGCGGTGCCGACGGTGCCCCCGTGGCACGGTGGTCCCGTCCCTAGCATTGAGCACTTGTTTTTTAGCATTGTGTAAAACTCCTATTGTATGCCGGGACATTGAACCAAGCCACCTGGCCCTTCCACTTCATGAATTCAAATTGTATGCTTTTAGTTTGCCAAGTGCATTGATAAGCCAAACTGCTTGAACCCTAAGACTGTGCTTGAGAGGTGACGAACATGTGTTACAGCTGTTACAGGGTGCTGAGTAGCTAAGAGGGCTTACGGCTGATGGTTGATTTCGCATGGTTGCTTTGAGGCTATCGGCATGCCGCAAAGCTCTGTCTCCTGACCAATGAGGGTGACTTGCTGATAGGGCCCGAGGCCAGGCCCGACACTGTAACTCCCGTGCAAGAGATCTATAGTTGCAGGGTGCGGCTGGTGTCCTCTCGCAACATCATGACGTTTATGGACCTCCCGGGTTCAGTGTTATGGCTTCTGGCAGGTTGTAGACCACATTTGCCCAAATGCCTTGCGGGACAGCCGTGCTCGTGTAATAGGCCTTTTATTCATTTTACTCTCAAGCTGTCAACTGCTGTTGTATGTTGCTATCTGCTATCATTCAATACCAACTTCCTGCTGTTAACACCTTCCATGTTGCCCATCTCTAAGCGTGAGCTGCTTGTCAAAAATTGACGCATTGGATCTGCTGTTGTTAGGGGCGACCTTTAGCACAAAAATAAGGCATCCCCCAATAGCACAGATAACCGCAGTATCCGCGCACGGGCCAAACAAAGGCCAAATCCAGTACCCTGAAGGTTGGTCGGCTGCAATTTTTACGCCTTCCAGCCTTTTAAGCAGACCAACCACAGAACAGATTGAAGCATTTCAAGCCTTTGCTAGGGTATCCCCTTATCAGGTTGAGGAGACTGATGTCGGCAGCCTGGCAGAAGGAGTTGATGATCACCGGACAGACAACTACTTGCATCTGCTGGCCAATGTGACAGCATGATCAAGATTTGATCTATGGCATGTGCCTTGATTGCAGGGGTGGAGGGACAAGTCGCAAGTCGGGTCAGCTATTGGGGAGCATTGGTCCTGTAATTCTGCTGCCATGCAAGGAATGCCACAAAGAGCTGCAGGAGATTATTGTCTTGGTCACAACCAAGACCCAAAGCTCTGCTTCCAACCTTTAGCGTTCCCAATTTTGTGTTACCCTGGGCAAGAGCCCCAGGAGTTGGCAACTGTCCATGCCTGATTCGATGTTGTGGGATCAGAGTGGAAGAGTAGATGCCCATGATTAAATTCGATGAATTCAGGTTTGTTGTGCCGGGAGGTCTAGAGACCATTAGGCGCCAGTAGCATGTGCATGGCGCATGGCCTTGGAAACCATGGCCTGCTCCTTTCGGAGCCCCTGCGTGCTGTTGGGTTGTGCTCGCGATTGCTGCTCGTAACTCTAAGAACTCTGATGAACATGAAGTTGACATGGTTGTGCACCTGTTTCGTTTGTTTCGTTTGGCCCGTGTGAGCTTGGTGATGGAAGTGGCAACCGTGCAAAGTAAATGAGTGTTTGAAGTGTACAGACAAGCGAAAGAAGCTCGCTGCTTTAGCTCTCTGCTTCCGGCGCTTCCACAAAATCAGAAAATTCGATAAGCTTTTGGCCGAGCAGCGGCCTTGTAAGTTTGTAACGAGACTACCTTTCCGGACTCTATTCCAACTGTGGCAAGGGGTGTTGTTACTGTTGCGCTGTGGTCATTTCAGGCTGTCTGAAGTATAGCTCCAGCTTTCAGCAGTTATTGCAGAAGATTGAGTGCCTATCCCCCGGTATGTAGTGGAGCGGGGAAAAGGATCATCTAGGCCAGGCACGTTTCATGTCGCATCTGGGTGGAGGTACACGGATTACTTGTCCAAGATCAAGCCCAACACGCCTATGGATCTGCGCAGCGTGCTGTCTGGCCTGAAGTCCAACAGGTGCAACATCTGCAGCATGTTTCAGACCGCAAGCTCACCTTTGTGAGGTACAGCGATGTTACAGAATTCAACCGCGAAATGAGCATGATCTGGTCAAATGCCTACAAGTGCGCGAAGAATTCTCTACAAGCTTTTACGGCGGAGCGTCTTTCCAATTCTGCGGTCAGGTACAACAAGGAGAACACACGTCCATATCAAGCGGCGCTAAAGGCAGAGAAGCTTTTCTCTGCCAAGATGCAAGGTCTTGGTCCCAGAAACTTCAGCTCAAGACCTTCAAGGGCTTGGCTTTCTGATGTGCAATCCAAGAACTGGATCGCAACGGCAGAAGAGCACGGCGATCAAAGACACCCAGTCGTCAGTGACTGGCAAGGGGTTTTCTTTCCTCGAGCGTCATGATGCTGGAACTTGTTGCCTACAGTCTGTATAAGCAAGCAGTCTCTCATCGAAACCTGATCAAGTTCTGTCCTGATGATGAGTTCCAAGATAGCATGGATAACTGCCGTAGTCGCTGCTTCCCTGCTGACCTTGAATGCCAGCGTCTTGTCGTCTGCATGTGCCGGAATTTGAAAAAAAGGTAGGCCGCGCAGGGTCTTTTGCTGACCAGTGGGTCTCTTCGACCATAGAGGGAAGCTCGCTCACAACGGCGATTCATGGGATGCTCAGAGAGTGTGAAAGATGGTAACCAACAGCCCAAGCAATTCAGCCATCAAAAGCGGTTTCTCACTTGGACGAATCAGACCACGAGCTGATAGCAAGCCCGGCATGCGCTGCTGATCATTCATGATGGTAGATCCACTAACCGTCACTAACCCACCACCCACCCACCCACCCCACTCTAAACCCGAAATCGCAATTGGCCCAACGGGACCAACTGAGCGTAGCTGAGCGTGGCCGTGGTGGTATAATGCGCGGATGAGCAGTCGCAGGCTGCTCGGCTTCACGCGGTGCGGCAGATGGGCAAGGCGCCAGGCTTCTTTGTAACGCATGTTGCGGCAATGACGCAATGACGATCACTCTACTACTTGGCATTTCTTCGCATACTTGGCAGAACCTGCCGGCCACATCTGCGAGAATGTGGATAGAAACTCATCGCACGCGTTTGCCCAATTTCGTCCATTTGCAAGAGTTTCTGAGGGCATGCCTGGCAAGTAGAGGTTCAGCTAGGTGTCAGCAATGGAGAAGTTTGATAGGTTGGAGAAGCCATGGATCAGACCTGCTCGGATTCCTTGTTTTTCAAGCTCGATAGGCAAATGATGAAAAATCAAGAGGAGGGCGGCTGGGCAGTATTGTAAGTTCGCAGATCCCAGGCATGGCAGTCAACATCTTTCTGTGCGCGCGAAACACATGTCTGTCTTGGTTCGCGCTGTGCGCAACCCCAAAAGCCCAACTTGGCGGCATGGACATCTCATACTTGAGGAAGGGTCAAGGTCAGCAGCCATGTGCATGCGTCTAATGCTACAGGCAGCTATGGAAGCGGTGCGACCGCAGAACAGCGTTGCGCTGAGGAGATTGCTGCCGGAATATGATGCAGATTCTTCCGAGGACAGCAGCCGTCGATGCCTGCTGCAGCTGATTATGATTAACAGATACAGGAACGACACTAGACTTTTGCAAGAGTGTTTAATTGATGTTGAGATTGTCGTCTGCTTGGGGCAGCTTTCTGCAGGTGACGATGATAGCAGATACATGCAGATACAACAGCAATTTATGCTGAACAGGAAGCCAGTGTGGAAGTGGAGATGGAAGACCCGGAGATGTCAGAGGCTAGAATGTATTCTGCAACAGATCCAAAATATCCAAAAGCAACGTTTTAATTACATTTAACATGGACAGTCACGCCCTGATCTGAAAACTCATATGACAGCGGATGTAACAGCCATGCTGAACAGGAAACCAGTGTGGAAGTGGAGATGGAAGACGCGGAGATGGCAGCAGCAGAGGAGGCTGGAATATACACTGCAACAAATCCAACAGAGACATTGTCATTATGCTTTTAACACGGATTGCCGCAACCCGATTTGACAACTCGACCGAGAGTTCTCCAACTTTAAAGATGCCGACAAGATGTAACACTCCCAGTTTGTACACAATGTGTTGCAGACCCGGAAGGAAGCAAAAACAGTAGGTCAGAAGGTTGTACAGCACGGACATGTCGTGTGGAAGCTGCGTGCTAAAGTTGCCATGCGCGCCTGTGCAGGCAGCTTCGGATGATGCAATACCGCAGGCTGACCCAGAAGTCGCGGAGGACGGACAGCTGCTAATGCGCCATCATGCACCGTGATGCTTTTGTGGGGCTCTGTTAAAATGATGTTGCCCATGGGATTGAAAAAGCTGGGCGCGTGAGTGTAACTCCGGTAGTTTTGATAATGTAGAGGTGCTTGTCTGCTTGGGGCAGAGTGCTAGCTGCTAGCCAGGAAGAGCGACGGGTAGCA